TTGCTGGCAATCGTTAGATGGTGCGCGCATTAGTGGCTGGTACTCGAAAAAACGACCACTTGGGCTGCCTCTCGCTTCCTCCTTTATCAGGAGGAATGCTGCTTTTGGAGCGAGTGTATTGGGTCCCACCGGGATCCCTTGGTGTGAAGTGTATGATGGGACGAAGTTCTGTCCGCCCTGTGATCTTTTATATATGTGCAACCAAGGAGTTGTGTGTTGGGAAGCAAGGCCGTGTCCGATCTTCGACCTGGTAATATCTTAAGATTATTGTGTGATTGTTATGTGTGTTTGATTTATTTCTTTTAACAAAAGTTATATTTGGATTCGCCATACTCATTATTGCGCCTATTATCACTCCCCGTGTAATCATCGTATCTGCTTGCTGTACTTGTTTTTCCTTCAGCCGTTTGGTCTGGAAACCTGTCGAAATGGATGAGTAAGCGAGCAAAAACAGAGGAATCCCAAAGCTGAGCAGCTGTAATACAAACGGAGAGATTGAGCAGCTGCTGAGGGAAAGATGGAGGGACGACTGGCTGCTGCAAGCACTCGAGATTCAACAATTCCTACAATTCCAAAGACAGTACTGGAAAACGGACGAATGGGGCAACACGAAACGGTACGATCGTAAGCCACAAAACGAGACAGCTCAGTGCAGCTACAATACTTCTCATCCTGAAAAGCTAGTCCGGAACGGAACAGAACGGAATGCGAGAAAGAACAGGACAGAACAGAGCGGAATAGGGACAGAACAGCGATGAATGAACAGTGTTTATTGAAGAGCAACAGCAGCAAGGGGCATTTGCTGCAGCGAGGTGGAAGAGAGCAGGCAACGATCATTCCTATTCCAATCTGCCAGTTTGCGGAAATTACGTACTGCACAAGACAGGTGGCCGAGGAAGAGGAAGGCCCAGCGTTGCCGTTCAGGCCTCCAGACGTCATTCAGAATATTCCGCGGGGATTCCCGGTGATTTTTGTCGTCGATTTGCTGTGGTATTTTCTCCGAATCCCAGGAGCAAAACGATGCGCTTATTAGCAGTGATCAGTGCTTTGCTCTCGTCTTTTCTGTTAATCGGAGCGCAACGAAGTCAGTTCGAGGTGAATTGTCCACGACACTGTCGCTGTAATAAAACAACGGTGGAATGTCGGCATACCCGGTTGCAAGGTGCCGAGATGTTCCAGAATGTGCGCCCGGAGGCGTATCCAGATCTCGACACGATCATCATCACGGGCAATACCATCGGCGATTTGGCCGGCTCAAATTTGTTCGGCGCAAATGTCAGCAATCACTACGTCTCACTGGTCAATTTGTCTAATAATGCCATCAGCGCAATCGATTCGTACACTTTCCGAGGATTACCCGCTGTGGAGTATTTCTACCTCAATGATAATGCCATCGAGCGAATCGGTGCCGATCCATTTCGGTCAGATTTGCATTTT